CAATACAAGCCCAGCGGCGGGCACAAGTAGACGCAAAAGCCACACGCTGCATCCCAAGACCACGGAGTCGGCAATGTGGAACCCACCAGCTCAAAAAACCTCCCACGCAGCAGCATCACCTCATCTCACCTCACCCTGCCACATCACCAACACAACCATGCTCTCGCGCCTGGTCCAGCGCAGGCTAACTGCCTCGCTGCGCAACTGCAAGACGCCTTCCTCCCCATCTGCCAGTGGCCGGTCCATCCAACGACGATGGATAACGCCCGCCCCGAAACCCGGTGACGGACCTCTCATGTCCCGCCGAGCAGACCGCGAGCTCCCGGGTACGGCCACACCACGCCCTCCTCCTCTCGTCCCTTCTCGCCAGCCAGTCGGTGCAAGATGCTAAACAGTCTGCAGAAATCAGCCAAGTTCGCTTCCGCTGGGGCCGCACCCTCCCCATCTTCCTCGCCATCGTCTCCGTCTGCTCCATCTCCATCTTCAACTACCAAAAGACGTCGTCGCCCATCGTGTCCTCGACGCTGTACGCCCTGCGCACCAATGCCCGCGCCCGCGCCATCCTCGGCGACGACATCTACTTCAAGCACCAGATTCCCTGGATCAGGGGCCAGATGAACCAGATGCAGGGCAAGATCAACATTTACTTTACCGTCAAGGGGACCAAGGGCTGGGCCACGATGCGCTTCTCCAGCCACCGCCCGTCGCCGAGGTCACTGTTTGAAACGACCGAGTGGAGCCTGACGACGGCCGACGGGCAGTGGGTTGATTTGCTGGACGGCGGGGATCCGTTCCGAGGGCTGCTGGGGGATGATGGGCTTGCCGCCATTGAAGAAGACGACTTGCATGTCACGAGGGGATATCGACAGCAGGGTGCGTTGAATAAGTGATTGGCCCGTGGTGGGAGAGGCGGCAAGAAGGCTGAGCCTGGAATCAACGAGAGCATATAGTGAGCGGCCATCCATCACATTGTTTTTTTTTTTTTAAGAGGCGGCGCCAATGGAAGCATCTCATTTTTGTACAATATAATTTGCAACGGTAGCCAGTACAGTACTCGAAAAAAAAAAAGGCTTTGGTGTATCTATATATTACACATGTCCGCTTCATTCCATAATCCCCTCTCCTCGTCCTTTCTTCCAAACATTGAAAAAATCTCACAACTCGGCTGCCTTTGACTGTCGCTGCTCTTTCCTCTCCAAATGTCTCTGTCTCGCCGCTTCCAGCTGTGCCTCCCCGTTGGGATGCCGCTCCAGCATCGCCTTCAGGACCCTTTCGCGATGCGGCAGCGCAGGAGCCTTGCGCTTCTTCGAGTCCTGCAGCTTCACCGTGCGGCCCTTGGGTCCCGGGACGGCGCCGCTGACAAGGACGACGCCCAGCTCGTTGTCGACCCTCATCACCTTGAGGTTCTGCACAGTCACCCACTCGTTGCCCATTCGCCCGGGCATCTTCTTGCCCGGAATGACACGACTACCGCTTCCCTGCGAGGGGCCGGTCGTACCAATCGTCCGGTGGTTCTTGGAGTTGCCGTGCGACGCCTCTTGGCCTGCGAACCCGTGGCGCTTCATACCGCCTGCGAAGCCCATGCCGCGAGACTTGGCACGAACGTCGACGTTCTGCCCGATTTGGAACCAGTCCGGCAGCAGCTGGGAGCCGACGGGCAGGAGACCTTCTCTGCCGCGGACCATGAACTCGGCCAGTTCGCTCTTTGGTGCTATCCCTTTGGCTTCGTAGTACCCCAGCATCGGGCTGGTCACGTTGCGAGGCTGTCGCGACCCGGCGCCAATCTGGACAGCCCAGTACCCGTGCTTCTCTCTCGTCTTGTTCGCCACGACCTGAACCTGGTCGAGTTGCAGAACCGTGCAGGGGATGCGCGTCTTGCCGACAAACATGCTCGTCATGCCCTTCTTGGTGGCGAGGACGCCTGCTCGGAGGGGCGTTGTGTTCTCCCGGCGCTTCAAGGCTGCCGCAGGGCCGGTCGTGGGCGCGGGTAGGCCGGCATTGGGCTGGTTGAAGCGTCGGTGCTTGGATCGTGGTGGTGCCGTTGACCAGCCGTACTGAATGCCGCGCTGGGCGGTCAGGGGGAGGAGGAGAAGGCGGCGTGGTGCATGGTGGGCGATTATGGCCGATGGCCGGGGAAAGGCCACCCTTGATGGGAGACTGGGCGGCATGACCGTGTGTGTCGTGTTGGCGATGTTGCCCAATGGAAGAATTGGATGGGATATGGGTGTTTCGCGGCTGTGGAGTTTTCCGAGTGCTTCTTGATTGTCGGGTATACTACGGATGATGATGACGAGGGTGGGGTTACAGGGTAGGGCGTTTGACGAGGGTTCGATATTCCCGTGTAGTTGAGCTTCCCCCAACGTACCTGATGCCATAAAGGTGGCTGATGGTAAAGCCACGGGCAATGTCAAATTATATAATATGTTGTTTTCGTGATAATCTAGACTCGGCAATTTTGACCCTCATCAACCCTGTAGGCTCCAGGCTCCCAAATAGCTTCACGATCTACACATCCGATCCTCTGCCCCCAATACCACTTCCCATCTGATTCACACTTGTCCCCTTGATTTTGTGATCCCCCGGTTGCGCCGCGGCCTCGTATAAAATGTTTGTCGGCGCCTTACCTAGCTTTGTCCACTCGCCCTTGAATCCAATATAACTAATCCGTGAAACATCTTCATCGCCATCCCCAAAATTATCCACAAAGAAAAGCACCAGCCGCTGGACTTTGCCAAACAGCGCCCTCTTGACGGGAATCTCTTGCACATCAGACGTTTGGGAGAGCTCAATCTTTTGCACGGGATCCATGTCTTCTGCGGTTGAAAAGTCCAGATTGTCGTGGTTGACGTAGAGATGGAGGGTTTTCGGGGCAGAAAGGGATGGGGATGTGCGGATGAGGATGGAGTGGAGTTTGACTTGGGCTGCGAAGCTGCGTTTTTGTCAGCTGTATGCTTTTTTTTTTTTTTTTTTTTTTTTTTTTTTTTTTTTTTTTTTTTTTTTTTTTTTTTTTTTTTTTTTTTTTTTTTTTGAAAAAAAAAAAAAAAAGAAAACATATTGAGTGAAAGCCAGACGACTGTATTTGATGAAGAATGTGAAATACAGAGGGGGTTGAGTGTTGCTGGCGGGGGGGGAGGGAACGGACG